GTTCATCATAATGGAGGGTCAAATGTAACAAATTTTCACTGAGTGGCTCTTAATTGAGGGTGACGCTTATTTGCGGGTTTTTACGGTAATCATCACATATCAATGAATGTTTATACATGGATGCTGTAGGACAATAGACAGACCTGGATAATTGTGGGTTAAAATCTGTACATATTAATTACCCAATTTGCATAATTAACCAATTTTAAGCTTTCACACTGATATCTAAAGTACTAATTTCCATTTTAATGAAACTTAGTACAAAGATGCTATAGGACAATGTACAAACCTAATTAGTTTGGGGTAAAACTCTGTTCATATTATTTCCCCAATTAGCATAATAATTCATAATTTTTTGGTTCTAATCACATTTCAAATAAACTTGGTACATAGAGTTTTTGTTACATTGCGCAGACCTCATTAGTTTTACAATCAAATCTGGTCATGTTAATTTTCTGATTTGCATATTAATTAGTTTTCAGCTAAGTAATTTCAAATTATATTTAATGTGTCTCCAATACTCTCAGCACATGGGAGTTCTTTCTAAGCTTTCTTTGATTTATATATGTGTTTTAGCAGTTAGTGTAACCATTTTAATTCCTTCTGAGGAATTTTAAGTGTTTCAATAAACCTAAACATGCGTCAAGCTGGCTGGCCCGAATTTAAATATCAGTGCGTGAAATCTTGAGGTCATTGCCCAATGCCGCACGTAATTCGAACGCGTGGTTATTAGAGTTCAGTCGAAATGTACGTGAATATTGCGATTGAAGTGCGCTGTCCAGAGTTTATTACATTATAGTAAAATTTAATTTAACACATGGTATGGTTTATATTACATGTTCACTTCATTTCGAATAAAAAAATCATCATTGAAACATCGATGAATCACAAGTATTTAAAATATTTTCTCGACTTTCCGTAGATACCCGACTACTATCATTTTTAATGATTTAAATGCGCCCATATTTATGTTTGCGTAATTATTACGAATGCAACGCATTATCAAGTCGGTGTATTGAAATATTCAAAGACCCAATACCCCGGGTCAGCATCCTAACAATAGTAAAAATTAACTTGAGTTTGCGTAATTATGAAAGGCAATACATTAGAAAGTTGAAATATTCAGAGCTGGTACAATATTGTAAACAACTTTGCGTAATTAGAAAAGCAGTGCACTAAGTAAACGACGTTGATATATTCAAAGCCAGTACAGAGTTGCATACAAGTTACAGTACCGTCGGATACAATAAAAATTTTACTAGATCGACACGCAGACCACAAAAGAAAAAGGTTGCTAAGGTAACGCGCCAGTTCAGTGCGTGACTTGGGGTCAAACTTTGGTCAACACACACTTGATGCCAGCATCGCTGCGCAGCAAGTTTCGCAAAGTACTTGAAGTTCAATTGCGTTCCAAAATGATGTCGCTGATCACCCAGTTGTCGCAGCGTGTGTTGTGTCACGTCCATGATGCACCCCGTTTCGACTTTGACTTGCTTTTCCTTCTTAGTGCGTGTTCTTGTTCACGTAAAATGCGACCTCTCACCAATGTATACTTCGATCTTTTGGTCCACATTTTTCTAAAAAAAAATCGAATCCTCCACAAGATCGCCCAGGGCGGGGTATTAGCTGAATCCGGTAATAGTGTTTTATTGACAGTGTACAAAAAAAAATGTTTTATTTTGTGGTCAATTTTGTTCATATGGATGACCTGTATTTGGCCTATTAGAAGCATATATTTGTGACTATCATATTAGATGACCATATATGGTTATGTAACCTCATTTATATGCATAAATGAAATATCTCAAGCTCAGTTTAATATTAAAGGCATCAGACTAATGTATCGTATTATATATGATCATGTGACTTTATTAATATGCATAACTAAAATCTACTAATAAGTACTATTGCAGATAAGGACATGCAACTAGTATGATTTTATTAAATGTTTGTAATTTTCATACTATTGTCACTTGAACCATCCCTGATCACTGCTTGCAGTTATAATTTTGAATATTGTTTTTACTGTGTTAGAAGTGTGTGTGCTTTAAAAGTAAATGCCAGACGGGAGTCTATGCTTAAAAATAAGTAATACGTCATATTTCATTGATTTGGAGATGTACTTCATTGCCTCCAATATCCTTATACATATATCTAAGGTTTCTATTTAAGGTTTCTTTAATATATTTCTGTTCTCTATTCATATATAATTGCAGGATTTGGTGTAATAATCATCATCATCTCTTTAAAATCTATATTGGAAAAAGACTAAATATTCTGTTCAAATTGGAGAAGTTTTAGTTCTATCAAGATGCCACTAAGAGGAAAAAAGAAAAGTAAGAGTTCTGTAACTGAGATGGAGACAGTGCCTAGTACTCCAGACTCTTCAATACCCAGAGTATCCAGTGATGTGACTGAGGTAAGTGTGACTTGTGTGACATTCCTCTCCATATCTCAAGTTACAGATGGTAATTTTAGTGATCATTTTCTCAAGCCAGCCAGCCAGCCAGCCAGCCAGCTAGCTGATTATGTTTGCTGTTGGGAAAAATCTCTGCTCAATTTTACATAGAAAGTTATAATCTCGTTTAATATACTGTTTTTCTCATGGATTAAGAGTAATTAATGAGTAATTTGGCGCAATTTCAATTTTTCTTGAACAACTTTTTTGAGTCATTTCCAATTTTGAAGGGTATTAGTATTAATCCATACATGAAATATCAAACTAAATTGCTTTAATACACTGTAATCATGTCTATTCTTGGTTGACAACAAGATGCGTACACTGGGATTGGCCATATCAGGTTAGATTCCATGTACCTTCTACTTAAAGATCTCATTTGATGTGTCCATCCACATGTATCACTTAGTTATGAACACTCAAAATCAATGAAGACACATACTGGTTATGGTTTAATACTCAATTTTTCATAATTGAAATAAATTTAAGGCGTAAAATTAACGTCTTTTAACTGACTTAAATAACCAACTACAGTTGTTTTTAATAAAGCTTTGAAATGTATATTGTGGATGTCCACAATTAACAGTTCTTTACTACTAGAATATGTGTGTCCATGGAAAGTACTAGCCAGCTCTATTTTACAGTGCACGTAGAGGAAAACACTCAGACAGCTGGAACATGCACGACCCAATTTGTCTTTCTAGATAAGATGTAAATTTTGGTCACCACATGTTCATGGTTGTTGTGACTACAATATACGTCAAACTTGTGTAGTGAGTGAAGAACACTCAAATAATAAAATACCAGGAAGGAAGTCCAACAAATAAAATTGTGTATTTACATCAATTCAGTTGTAAACTCTAACTGACTTCTTCTTTAAGAACCAGAAAATGATAAAATAAAACAACACATATGTTTATTGATAAACATTTTATCATGTGCGATCTTGTCACTAAAATCTGTGTTTCATTTTATAAGTCAGAGAAAATCACAAAATATTAAATATACTACCCCGGTAGCAGTGAAAATTTGTTTGGTTCCCTATGACATAGAGTGTCAGCGACATTTGCAAAATTTTGTCTTCCTGAATGTCATAATAATCATCAAATTGCAAATATTTCTAGTAGCGAAAATCGAGCGGTTTACAGTATCTAAGACATCAATCCAAACACATGATTAACTGTTTTAATACCAATCGTTTTTGTTTGTTTATAAAGAAAGTAGCAGCGGAACAAGAATTGTCACCCCCACCATGGCGCAGAGCATCTTTCGATGGTGATATCATGAAAATGTTAACACCTAAAAACAGTTTTATAGCAGATATTGCTATGGATGAAGCCTCTGGAGGAAGCCATCATTACTACGATGAGCGAGACTACCAGTGTAAGTAATGTCTTATTCTATAGTGAGATCACATCAATGTTCAACTCCAGTTGTGTGTGTCCATCTCACTTTTTTTTTGTGCCTATTTCATGTTAAATCACCTTTACATTTTCTATAAATAATCATTCATATGTCCCATATTGACTTTAATTTCTCTAAATTTTAGGATATATGTATATATAGCTAACATATTCCACACAGACATGTGTCATACAATAACAGCCTTCAGGGAGATATGTCGTACAGCGCCCTCATAGAAGGTGTTAACAAATCCTTTTGTTTAAATAAAATGTTACCGTATGGTAATATGAAATTAAAGATAATGTTACTGACATTATACAGCTTCCATTGGGACATGGTGTCTTATAGCAATTCAATTATATTTTCAGTTTATTTCATCTGATTCTAACTATGACTGGGTTATTTTACCAAGAATTGCTAAGCCTAAATGTCATCGCTTTTTTTGTGTGTATACCTAGAAATTATTGAAGACACAAAATCCATCCAATGTTTATGTTCACTTTCATCTTTTTTCTTTCAGTGCATCGAAGATCTAGTTATCACCACCATTCAGCATTTGGTCATCACCGCCGTTCTAGTGGTAGAAGCCTCAGTAGAGCTGGATCAAAAACTCCCAGTTTTTATGTCACACCATCTCAAAAAAGTCTACAGAGGGGAGTAACTCCAAAATCCTCATCTAAGTCATTAACAAGGAGTGTACCAGAAGAAGATGAAATTGATGGAGCAGCTGCTGAAAAACCAAAGGTATATCTAAAATAGTTCATGTTTTCCCACCCTATGTGGTACTAGTCTAGTCTAAGAATATTGCTCGTTTTGTATATCTTGTAATTGTGCTGTTAGAGCACTCATACAGCTTTATTTAGGTTTGGGATTATTACATTGAAACCATGAAATATGTTACATAATAGTCTCAAGTCCGAAGAGCTATCACCTGGTTTCTATAGTTTTCAGTTCACATGTATTGCATAGATTGACTTTCAGGCCTGATATATGTCCTCTTATATTCAACACATTTGTTGAATCTCCTTGAAGAATTTTGTTCATATATTTTTGTTAATTTTTGTTGTCCTTGTGTTTGTTTTAAATTTCAGTTGCTTGATGTCTCCAAGTCCCGTGATTTCATGGTAGTGTAACAGTTTTTAATTTTTTGAGTGCTCTTCCATAATAACCAAAGCAGTCTAACAATAGTCAATGTTGGTGTAAATGCTCTCTAGTTGTGACAGTTTACATGCTTTATGCCTGAAATAAGTGTTGTCTTCAATCTAGGAAATACAGATGGAGGACTCAACTCTATTCCCCACTTGTTTTATATTTTAGATAAAATATACATGTAGTCTAGTGTACTTGACTTTATGGTAGCTGTAATTCCATGAAAATCTATATTGAATTGGAATATGCAATTAATTTTCACTGATCAATAATTATTTATAGAAATGATAAAATAAAAGGTAATGTTGTTAGAAATATAGAATCAATTGTTATGATTCTTAAGCAATATACAAATCATTTTAATGTACATTGTAATTTGAAAGCAGGAAATACCAAGGCTTCATATTGACAATATTTTGGTGCTTTACTTTATAGTAAATTTAAGGTTACATGATTGATTGATTGATTGATTTTAGGGTCAGTTATTTCATTAAGATTAATACTGCCCAAGTACCCTTCTGTGTAAATTAATTATAAGTTTTAGTGTATTCTTTGAAGTCAACTGAAGTACATGCAGATACACCAATATGTTGTGGTGTGTCATTTCTCAATTAAAATCCACTTTTCACTGCTTATTGTAGTTCTCACATAAATTAAATTGCACGGTAGTTTTGTTCTTTGTTTCTTGAGTGTGTGTAAATTCTAATCAAAGGCAGGCACATGTAACAGTAGGATCTGTTTGCATTTAGTTGTAACTCAGAATGCAAGCTTGGTGACAAACTCTAAAGTGTACTAACTTTATATTGGGAATAATAAGTACCGGTACTAATGTTTCTAAACCAAAACCATGGTGAAACTTGAAATGCCTGTAGATGGCATTTAATTTCACTATTTTGATGTTTGAGGATATTCACTGGGTTTCAATTCACAACGTTGCCATTTTTGACTCCCGTGTGCGAAGCACAAAAGGGAGTCTTTGCAGTTACCCTGTCTGTATGTCTGTATGTATGTATGTATGTATGTATGTATGTATGTATGTATGTATGTATGTATGTATGTATGTATGTATGTATGTATGTATGTATGTATGTCACTTTTTTTGTTCCATCGTTATCTCAAGAACCACTAATCAAATTTTGGTGAAACTTGGTACATAGATGCTCTGGAATAATGCGCAGAGTTGATTAGGTTTTGGTAAAAATCTATGAATATTAATTACCTAATTTGCATGATAATTAGCTGATTTTTAGCTGTTCCAAGACTGTTCCACTGATATTTGAAGAACCACTCATTGGATTTTGATGAAACTTGGCACATGGATGCTCTGAATCAATACACAGATTTGATTAGTTTTGGGTAAAAATCTGTTAATATTATCAATTACCTAATTTACATAATGACTAATCAATTTTCGGCTTTTCCACTGATATCTCAAGTACTAATCATAACATTTCAATAAAACTTGGTACATATATGTCATATGACACTGCACAGACCTGATAGTTTTTAGGTAATATCAGTACATATTAATTACCTAATTTGCATAATTAATTAATTTTCAGCTTTTGATATTTCGAGTAGTAATGATCACATTTCAATGAAACTTGGTACATAGTTACTTGAGACTGTGCAGAGACCTAATTAGTTTTGGGTA